GAGGGAAGACAGGCTTTAACTAACACAGTAGGGAGAGGGTCAAGTTGACAGGTGGATGGCTTAGATTTTTTAATGAGATTAGATACATCAGTAAAGAACGTCACATCACTATCATCCAGAAACCACATTTGTGAGTTTGGCCTGCTTATTATCCTCGCAGAATAAAGGAATAAAGCTTTTCTGTGTTCTTCCAACCGACGTTGAGTGTTTGAAACGAGTTGGATTATTGAGGCGACAACGATCTAAATTACATTTATCATCCCGAAAATGGCGCAGCGAGAAAACCAGGTGAACCGAGACAAACTCTGCTGCTCGATCTGTTTGGATCTCCTGAAGGATCCGGTGACTATTCCCTGCGGACACAGCTACTGTATGAACTGTGTTAAAATCTACTGGGATGAAGAGGATCAGAAGGAAACCCACAGCTGTCCTCAGTGCAGACAGACCTTCACACCGAGGTCTGCTCTGGTGAGAAACACCGTGATAGCAGATTTAGTGGAGGAAACAAAGAAGACTGGACTCCAAGCTGCTAAAGCTGATCTCTGTCATGCTGAACATGAAGATGTGAGCTGTGATTTCTGCACTGAGACAAAGCTGAAAGCTGTCAAGTCCTGTCTGCAGTGTCTGGTCTCTTACTGTGAGCAGCACCTCCAGCCTCACTATGAATCCTCCGCCTTTAAGAAACACAAGCTGGTGGACCCCTCCCAGAAGCTCCAGGAGATCATGTGCCCTCGCCACAATGAGGTGATGAAGATCTTCTGCCGCACTAATCAACAATGTATCTGCATTCTTTGCACAATGGATGAACATAAAGGCCACGACACAGTTTCAGCTGCAGCAGAGATGAACGAGAAGCAGAGAGAGCTTAAAGAGAGACAGCAGAACATCGAGAGGAAAATTAAAGAGAAAGAGAAAAGCTTGAAGGTCCTGCAGCAGGAGATCTCTGAGCTGAGGAGGAGAAAAGCTGAGCTGGAGCAGCTCTCTCACACAGAGGACCCCA